TTAAAAACAGATCTATTCCTCATCTGTTTTGGAGGACCAACTTAGGCAAGGAGTTTAAGGAAGATTTTAGTTGGACATTGAAGTTTCTTATTCAGAGAATATTTACCTAATATGTGGAAGTTTTTGCTTCCAGTTATGAGGGCAGCCCCTCCAGGAGCTGTGGATCCAGATATTCCCAATTGAACCATAACTGGTACTAGGGGCAGGGGCAGCCCTCTTTTTTCGGTGGGCCAGTTCCCAGTGTATTCTTCTTCCTGTATAATCCTGTCTTTGAAAGGCAGGAGGTGATTCCTATAGTACAAGCAAACCATGATCCTTCTGAAGCTACTAGGTAACTATTATCTACAAGGTCCCCAAGGATGAGTTTGTATAGTTGGCTGCATGAATTTTGATATGGGGACTTACCGATATTAAGCTCAGTATTTAAGAAACAGGTAACTCATCCTCCAAGATCCCCAAGAGTGAGCTTGGGTTCCTTACCCCACCAGCAAAGCACCTGGGCATGGGTTTGTTCAGCACTTACATTGTGGATATGTTGGGGTAGTTGTTCTGCAGTGCTGTTGGTGACAATGCCTACATAACATGGTGGTTCAGGGTTGACACATGGCCAACAGTCCCGGGTGTCACTGGAATTTGTTGCATTAAGAAAAAGAAAACCTGAGTCTAACATATTTAAGAAAGAAATTTACTTACCTTCTAAGGGTGACCTGTTGCTTGCAGTGCTGTAATTTACTCTATGGAAGAGGTAACTGAATCCTGCGGCTGGACCAGAAGCACATGAGGTATAATCTATCTACTGGGGCCAATTGAGTTGGTTGGCATTTTAGGACAGTCACGTTTTACGGTAAATATTGCATCTGGCTCCAAACAGGAATACATAGTCACAAACTTCATGTGAATCCTGTGTTCCAGATGCAATCTTGTAGTTTTGTATTTTTTTAAACCTGAATATCTATAGGGTTACATTTACATACTTTACAAGGTCGCAGAGTTGTTTCTCTTTTGAAGGCAATATAACTGTCTGGGATTCGAGACACCAGGGGCTATTGTTTTGTAGCCCCATGCACAGCAGTTATAGTCCCCAGTACCTCCACAATATGCGTTTTCATGATCAGGGCATATGTAAAACTGGGTATTAAAAATAATTGTTGTTCCATGTCTTTCCTCCCACATACATAGAGGATTAGTTTTAGACTATTCCAAAAATTGCCAAAGAGTTGAAAGACAACTGACCAATATGTATGGGCCCCATAGGTGGACACCTGCTTAACTGCACTCCCATCCTCTGTTTTTTTAACTCCCAAATACAGTTAATCAATTGATGTAGGGAATGCGATATAGCCCCACCCGTTCTATTTCTATTTAAGATCAACAACATTAATATTACATAGGTGCTAAAGAGTTTCTTTGATAAGCCTTATCTTTAGTGGGTCCCAAGAGTGTCTGACAATTCTCCATTTCTTACCTGATGTTTGAGGAACTGCGACCATCACCGCATGCCAAAGTGGGCTTAGTGTCCTGTGGGTTGGTGACCATTGCTGCTCCCTGGAGCTGGTGTCCTTTTCAACCTGAGAGTGATGAATCCATAACTTGTTCCCATCTACCTTAATGGCTGTTGGAGTGGTTAGGATCATAGCACATGGTCCTTTCCAGAATGGCTGCAGGGCTTCAGTTTGATGTCTCTTGATCCAAACATGGTAACCTCATCAGAAACAAGGTGGTTGGACTGGCCGGAAAGCTGCCTCCAGGTCAGATATCAGTTCCTTTTGGACTTTCTGGAAAGCCTACAAGGAACTTAAAAGCTGATCACAGCAGATAATTTGCAGGGCTTATTCTCCCATCTTGGGCAAATCAGGTGGGGTCTCCCAAACATAGTCTCAAATGGAGTGAACCATTTAATGCTGGAGTTATATCTTGTTCTAAGTAGGACAAAAGCCAGCATGCCCACCCAATTTTCACCAGTCTCTAGGGATAATTTGACCAAGGTCTCCTTTAGGGGCTGATTTACTCTCTACCAGGCCAGAGCTTCGGGGTCTATAAGCACAATGTAATTTCCAATTTATCCCTAAAGCTTGGGCTATTCCTTGTGACACCTGGGCAATAAAGTCAGGGCTATGAACTGAGCCTTTATGGAGAGTCAGACCACACCTAGCAACAATCTCATGTAACAATTTTCAGCAGTCATGGTTGCCAATTTCAGTCTTAGTAGGAAAACTTCTTCCCATCCTGGGAAAGTACCTATAAACACAGTAAGTTTATATCCATATTTTCTTGACTTAATTCCAATGAAATCAATTTCCACAAACCTCCCTGGCTCTGTTGCCTGGTTATTGATTGCAGTTTTGTTGTTGGTCATGGCCCTGGGTTAACCCGGAAATAAATCACACAATGTTCTACCACTCCTTCCATCAATGCGTTTAGTCCTCACATCCTAAATCCTTTCCTGAGGAACTCTGCAAGCTTTGTTTTTGCTAAATATGTGCTTTGATGGAGTTGCTAAGCCAGATGTTGCCCCAGGGCTTTTGGAAGAAACAGCCTACCGTCCAGTTCTTGGTACCAGTTCTGTTCTCGCTGCCTGGTTCCCCTCTTTTCTTGTATCTATAGCAAAGATTTGGAAGAATATGGATCTGAGGGAAGAATTTAGTAAATACAGGGAGTATGGCAGTTGCCCTCGTGGCCACTTCTCATTAGCCATGTCCAGTTCAGTATTATCACAAATGCAGTGGGAACCAACTAGCAGCTAATAAGCCGTGAGAATTTCGTCTTTGTTTTTGTTTGCCTTCATCTGTAAGGAGGCCTAATTGCCGGTAGATGGCACCATTTACATGAGCTGTAGCAAAGGCACACATACAGACATGTAATGTGGGAAGCCATAATGCATGGAATCAGTGTGAATCTGAGCAGTAGTGGTGGCAGCTGACACATAAACTCCACCTGAAAGAGGAACTCCAAGAGTCTGATGACAGACAATTCTTTTGTCTTTGAGAAATGCCTAACACAGCCTTGGGTGTTTTTTGAATAGCAGTCCCAGAGACTCCTCAGGGCCATGACAATGTGGTAGCTTGGCTGAAAAAGCACCAGAGACAAACTGGTGAGGGATGTCCATTTATTGAAAACATCATTCAAGCATATGTATAAAATGGAGGGGGAAGGCAGAAAGGTGGTCTCGATAGTACTCCCACCCTACACTGTTATTGTATCTTGCCAGTAGGCATGCCTATCTCTCTGGACATTCTAATCAAGTTCCCACTTACATTCTGTTAAAGGGTTGGGAGCTTAATGTTTTAGGCCATGTGCAGGTAGACCAAGATAAGCTAGCACCTGGGCTGAAAGCTATGCCTTTGGGTATGATCATTACATGTGACTGGCAAACAGAATAAAGGTTACATTTCACTTCTCAGAGTTGCTTATCAGGGAAATTCTAGCACAGCTTCGCAGGGACAGAGAAATTGGGATACAGCGTGCTACTACTCGGGATGTATGCCCAGTGAACAGGCCAAGATGCAGTCTTTGTTAGCTGAGACCACTCTCAGGGCTTTGTCTTGGAAACACAGTGTACCATGTGCCTATGGCGTCCTGCATGGAATAAGCAGGCAAAGATGCAGGAGCAATCTGCCATACTTATTATTCAAGGACAGACAGTGGCCAAAAAGGATCCACATTTGGCCAGATCTCACAAAAGAATCTTGCCTCTGCACAAGTTTCATCCTTCACACCTGGGTCTTTATCACTACAACTGCCACATGCATCACTTGGTATTTGTGATTCCAATATAATTCTCTAATAGGATGAGGAATTTTGAGATTCTAAAAAAGATAAATGTGTAAGTGAGAAACATGGTATTTCAAGCAAATGTTATACACTGAGCATTTAGTATCAACATTAAATCTGAAAGCAGAATTCCCATTTACAACCTCACAGCAAAGGGAGATTACATACAACTTGCATCTTAATTATTTTAGTAAGAAATAACCTCGATTCTGAAATAAAATGGTACTCCTCATGTTTAATAAACACTTGCTGAGACTTTCAAAGTATGTTTCCACATCCATTGCCGTTTTACAATGTTTTATATTTGCACTCTTGCTAATGGTTCTTTCTTCATTCACTTTATCAGCTCTGACAGACAATAATAACAGGTTTATGGCAGCTATTCTTTGTGATTACATTTTTTGTAGTGCTGAGGTCCGTGACTCTGCTAACGATTGACTTCAGAAAAATGATTTTTCAGTCAATGCAGTATGTTTGCCCGTTTCTTTGAATATGCTAATTACTAAAGCATGTATGCTTTGCACTGTGCTCAAAATGTTTGGGTGAATTTTAACACACATGTAATACATTCGTGCTTTCCTATGTGAATTCTGATGTTTAACAAAACTTGACTGCTTGCAACAGGATTTTCAACCCAATACATTCGTGTGTTTCTTACCCAATACATTCGTGTGTTTCTTATCCTGTATGCATTTCCTGATGGCAAATTAAACCTGTTTGGTAAGTAAAGGCTTTAAGATACACAATGAATTCATAAGTTTTCTCCTGTGTGGATACTTTGATCTATGATTAGGTGTGACATATGAGAAAAAGCTTTTACACACTCACGACATTCAAAAGGATTCTTCCACACTTTGGATTCTCTGATGTCTAATAATGTGTGCCACATGAAAAAATCTTTTTCACACTCACTACATTCATAAGGTATTTCCCCAGTATGGATTCTCTGGTGTCTAATGAGATAATATTATATTACATTCTTACATTTATTCGTATGATTTAAAAAATAAAAGGTTTTCCACTCACTACATTCATAAGGTTTTTCACCTGTGTGTATTCTCTGATGTAATCAAATGTTGACTTATCAGAAAATTCTATTCCACACTCACTACATTCATAAAATTTCTCCCCTTTTTGGACCCTCAGAATCTAAAGAGGTGTGTGTTACGAAAAAAGCCTTTTCCACACTCACTACATTCATAAGGTTTTTCACATGTGTGCATTCTCTGATGCCTAATGAGGTGTGACTTTTGAATAAAAGCTTTTCCACACTCACTACATTCATACAGATTTTCCCCAGTGTGCATATTCTGATGATGAATGAAACCTGAGTGGATACTAAAAGATTTTCAACATTCACTGCATTTATAAGGTTTTTCACCTGTGTGCATTCTCTGATGCCTAACGAGGTGTGACTTACGAATATAAGCGTTTCCTCACTCACTGCCCTCATAAGGTTTTTCCCCAGTGTGGATTCTCTGATGCCAAACGAGGTCTGACTTACGAAAAAAAGCTTTTCCACAATCACTACATTCATAAGGTTTTTCTCCAGTGTGTGTTGTCTGATGTCTCAGGAGGATTGGCTTATGAAAAAAGCGTTTTCCACACTCATTACACTCATAAGGTTTTTCTCCAGTATGGATTCTCTGATGTTTTCTAACGGTTGACTTGTCAGAAAATGCTTTTCCACACTCACTACATTCATAAGGTTTTTCCCCTGTGTGAATTCTCTGATGACTAGTGAGGTATGACTTTTTAATAAAAGCTTTTCCACACCCACTACATTCATAAGGTTTTTCCCCAGTGTGGATTCTCTGATGATGTACGAATTGTGAATTTGTGGCAAAAGCTTTTCCACACTCACTACATTCATAAGGTTTTTCCCCTGTGTGGATTCGCTGATGACTAATGAGCTGTGACTTACGAATAAAAGCTTTTCCACACTCACTACATTCATAAGGTTTTTCCCCAGTGTGGATTCGCTGATGACTAATGAGCTGTGACTTACGAATAAAAGCTTTTCCACACTCACTACATTCATAAGGCTTTTCCCCAGTGTGGATTCTCTGATGATGAATGAAGTCGAACTTTCTGAGGAAAGCTTTTCCACACTCACTGCACTCATAAGGTTTTTCCCCTGTGTGCCTTCTCTGATGCCAAACGAGGTCTGGCTTATGAAAAAAAGCTTTTCCACACTCACTACATGCAAAAGGTTTTTCACCTGTGTGGATCCTCTGATGACTAATGAGTTGTGACTTTCGAATAAAAGCTTTTCCACACTCACTACATTCAAAAGGTTTTTCACCTGTGTGAATTCTCTGATGATGTACGAATTCTGAATTTGTGGCAAAAGCTTTTCCACACACACTACATTCATAAGGTTTTTCCCCTGTGTGCGTTCTCTGATGCCTAATGAGGTGTGACTTACGAATAAAAGCTTTTCCACACTCACTACATTCATAAGGTTTTTCCCCAGTGTGGATTCGCTGATGACTAATGAGCTGTGACTTACGAATAAAAGCTTTTCCACACTCACTACATTCATAAGGCTTTTCCCCAGTGTGCTTTCTCTGATGATGAATGAATTCTGACTTGCTGGCAAAAGCTTTTCCACAATCACTACAATCAAATGGTTTCTCCCCAGTGTGGATTCTCTGATGTTCTCTCATGCTTGACTTAAGAGAAAAACCTCTCCCACACTCACTGCATTCATAAGATTTTTGCCCAGGGTGCTTTCTCTTATGCCTAATGAGAGATAACTGCTGCTGAATGAAATTTCCATGCTCGGTGTATTCATACGGATTCTCTGCAATTTGAAGGATTTGAACTCTAATGAGTTCTGACTTGTGGTTCCTGATTTCTTTACATTCATTTGACACATACAGATTTTCTCCTGAGTCAGTTCTCTGTTTGGGGGTAAGCAAAGATGTATAGTGGCCAACATGAATTGCTTCTCCCACACTGACAGGTTGCTGATTGCATAGGTCTTTGGTATAAACATGCTCACAAGTAAGGACTATCTTCTGCCTGCTGAAAGCTTTCTCTTTCCCATTGTGTTCAAAGGACTGCTGACAAATGTGGATCTTGTCAAGATGACTGAGATTTTTCTCACTCTCGAGGTTGTTCTCAGGAACAACTGAGGCATGCTTCTTTTCAAATGGCATTTCATCAGACTTCCTATGGGATAAGAGAAATTAAAATAAACTATGATGTCATTTCCTCTCTCCTTTCAAAAGGCATTAGATCTCTGAGCCCCTCCTGGGAGTTGCTTTCCTCCTCCCCTCTTCCAAGTTCAGCTGGTCCATTAACAAGTAATAATTAGACTAGTTTCCATTTTCTGTTTCTACACCATGTTAAAGGAAAGATTCACTGAGCTTTCCTGGTAACATTTGTTTGGTGCACAATATGGGAGTTGAAAAAGTATTTTGGCTCTTATACAAGACCAATGAGCGCAGACTTAGGAAAAAGAAGATTCCACATCATTTGTACTGAGCCTGTGGAAATGACCTTATTACCACATGCCTCTGAAAAATATGAACACACCCACGAACCCATGCAATCCTCAGCCACAACCTAGGTCCGGCTAAACCTCCAGATGGATTGTATTAGGAAAGGCCACAGCACACAGCAACGTGAAGTGGAAGTGGGGGAAGACAAGACTGAGCCAGGTTGCAACACATGCTGGTGGAAAATGAGTTGAGGCAAGCCGTGGCAGTCAGGGTGATGTTGGTGCTGGACTCATAATGCCTGCGTGAAGGAGATCCACTGGGTCCCTGGTAGCCTTGTCTGGGACCTTAGGCACAGCTCTGCAATAAGCACAGTTTATGAACCCCAGTGGCTGCATGTGTGGTGGTTTCTGTTGCCTGGCCTGAATGCTTGGCTGGTCAGTGCAATGGGTCCTGGGAGTAGATGGTGTGGCAGGCCTCAGATCACATGGCTAGGATACTTTACATGCCTGCATGGTGGTGCTAGCTCAGTGAGCACTGAGGGTGGGGCTCCACTGGGCAGGATTGACTGGCTCAGGTCTTGTAAGGACCGGTACTCCTTAGTTGAAAAGGAGTATTGGACAGCTGGTCTGGATCCACCTGGAATTGGCAGCCCACTGAGGCCTGGAAAGCACATCCAAGGGAAAGGAAAGAACAGTCGGAATAACTACCTCAGCCAAATGATGATAGCAAATATCTGGAGGAAAGAAGACCCTAAGGTCAACCATGTCAGCCAATGAACATTGAAAGGGTTCCCGCTTGCTTGAATCAGTGAGATGGACCCCATTTCAGAACTATCAGAACCACCGGGAAAGAAATGTTGGAGGGTGTGCCATATTGACACCCTAGTTTGGTATCAGGGGTCCAGTACCCATCCTTAAGTACTAGGATGGTTGGGAGGCCTAGTATAGCTTCTCTGAATATCATTTAGCCTTGACCTAAAACAGGAAGGAAAAATAGAAGATTTGCAAATGATAATACCAATTTTAACACACATTGAGTGCAATTAAATCACACACACACACACACACACACACACACAATACACAGAAACCCAACTCATAAAAAAATGATTAAGTTGCATTCCCCTAGTCCCACCCACCTCATGATGTTGGAGGTGGGTGGAGTCTAGGCCTGCCTTGTATCCAATGTATCCACTCCCAGCGTACTCACCAGGGAGGGCGAAGCCTTTCGAGCCCAGGAAGGCCAAGACTCAGCTCTTCACATCGTCATAGTGGTTGGACATAGAGCTATGTGGCTGGACTTAGCAAAGACTCCACAAGATTTCTACTGAGCCATTGGAAATGACCCTTGGCACACCATGCCCCTGCACAAACATGAACATATCCACCAACGTAACCTCCAGTCACTGTCTAGCTCCACCTAAACCTCCAGACTGATTGTGCTTTTAGGATGTGGGGGGTGGGGGAGGAGATAAGAAGTATAACACTTTAGGACCTTAGAGGCTTTAATCACCAACTACCTATTTTCACTTTTGCTCGCACATCAATTTTCATTTTAGAAGCAAGTCTCTGGGTCCTAACACTTGGGAAACTGTTGGAGGATTGACACAAGAGGCCAATTTTCTGCATGACTTGAAGCTCCTTCAGTGAATCCTGAATCTCAACTACCTGACATGGGACCAAAGTTCTGGGCTCCTTTTTCACACTTCACACTGGTTTATCAGCATTGAAGGAGGGATGAGAGTCCAGGCATCACCAAATATTCACTTTGGTTTGAGTTTTATTGTTAAGCTGTGTTTATATTTACTGGAAATTCAGATATACAGAGAGGATGTAAGACACACAAGAAGATCTTCCAAATGCTGACTCACATTCTAAAAATACACAACTGACAGAGCTGTTTCAAAGCTAAATACTAGGAGTTTCTTCTGGGTCTACCACACAGATGTATAGCCATAAGCTTGTGGGGTGTCTTCACCAACTTTCCCAGACCACAGGCTGCTGAGGTCCATGCAGTGCATGTGAAAGACATGAAGGTTTGAAGAGAACTTTTCCATTGCAGGCAAGGCCACAAGGAATTTTCCGCTGCATGGCAAGGCCCAGCTGGATGTCTCTACAACCACCTGAAAAGCAGTTCCATTTCCTTTTGCATACACACTGGACAAGCCCACAGAGATATTTGTAATTAGGCATTGTCTGTCACTGTGGAGTTGAATTTATGATTAGTGTGTGCTTAGAAGATGATGTTGGTGATACCATCTTAGCAAAAGGGTCTTTTATTATTCCTGCTCCCTCAGCTGCCCCTCTGATCATATGAAAATCAAGGGTGTTAAGTCCCTACACCTAGCAGGAACCTAGGCTTAGGGTTGTCCTCCTACATGGGCCACATGCTAATCAAGGATGTTAAGTCCTTAGATGTAGTGGAAATCTATTCTTTCCCTCTTTCATTAATCTTTAGGTCCCTCCTTCTGTGATGCACTTCCTCCCTAAACTGAATCAAGACTAAGTTGGAGCATCAGAATAATAATAGGAATGTGTTACTGATTGACATGTACCATCTATTGAGAACTTCCTGACCACAGGATTAGGACAGCTGATATCCTGCCTCAAGGTGAAATAATTGGTAGAACTATCCTTAGGAAGGCCTGCTTGACCAGGTGTGAAAAGTAGGTGCCAGAGTTTGTGAAGGCTTCTGTACAAAGAAAGAGGACAGCTTTCTTGAATTGTCCATTATGATCCTGAAACTGTAGTGGTCCATTTATTTGCTATGCCTACTCCAGGCGTCCTTCTTAAGTTCTGAACTTGGCTAATCTGGACACCTGCAATAGGCAGAGAGCTGGATATTAAGTGGAGCTGCCAGGGCAGAAACCAGTGTCCGTATATGATCCCAGTGCATGCAAGCTGAAGGACAGCCACTAGGCTATCATGCCATGCCCTCAGGTTTGATCTTTAGAAATGACTTGTGTGGATGACCCCCTCTATACTTTATACATGACATCAGAAAAAGCCAGTTTCTTCAGATTTGTCACTCATGTGGCTTCCTACCTCGGAGAGCTCAACAGCCAAAGAATGACCTGTGCAGATTTGAAGCTGTGTAGTAGCAGCTATTTCCTTGTTGGTTGAGAAAAACCAATGGCAAGTGTCTTACACACAGGTTCCTGTACAGACAAGGAATGTTCATAGGACACTTAAAAATCTGAGACCCTTCTGAAAAACATTGCTGTCTCCATTCAACAGGCGCATGATCTCCTCCCTCTGCTTCCTACATTCACCTGTTCACTTTCCAAATAAAACTTCTGTCTGAAAATGAAAAAAACAAACAAACAAACAAAAAAAAAAACAAGAGAGAGAGAGAGAAAGAAAAAGGGAAAGAATGAAATCCTATTTCTCAAGTCTCATTTTTGTACAATTTCCCTTTCATATTGTGTTTCATTTATGGCCAGAGATAATGATAACCATCTTTGTGGCAATGCAGCTCTCATTTTAGGTATTCTATAATTTTTCAGATTACAACTTACCTGAAGATTATTTCTTGAACTTTCTGCTTAGCTCCAAGCAGCTCATTCTTTCCATGGGGATCTGAAATGAGGAAAAGAGTAATCATATGTATGAATCATATCTAAATGTTGTTTTTTCAAATGCTCAAGGGAAGTCAATGAAATTTTTTGCCATTCTAGATACAGCATATTTTAGTATTAGTAAAATGTAGACATATATAAGCCTTATTAACTAGGCAATATAGCTCATCTATGAATGCCTTAACATAATACCCATCTTTTTAAATTAAAATTTCAATTATGTGACATTGTGTGTTTAACATAAAGTGGGATATGAGAGAAAATATGTCATAAAAATATAAAATAAATCTTGGGGTATGTTACATCCAATCTCAGCCCTAGTTTGTCTTTTCCTGGCTACTCTGCTTCAAATACAACTTCCTGAAAATGTATCTTGGGAGGTGGTAGATGTGATTCAAGTGTTTGGGATCATAAAAAGTCAAATATATACTTCTAAATTTATGTTGACAGGCTGGCAAATTGCTAGAATAACCTATTCATGGAGACTATAGAATGCCTGTGTCTCACCGGCTCTCCTTCTGGAAGAAACTCAAAATAAAACTCAAATATAATTCCAGTCAACATTTACTGAAAGAAGTATCAGCTTCCCTGCTGACCTACCTGGAAGTCTCTGCTTGACAGATTTCTCCACTATCCATGGTGCTGATTCTTGTTCCAACTTGAAGATCACATCAGGCTTTGTCATGGAGTATCCTGCTAATGGAGAATGATGCAGATTTTCTGAAATCAGCACTGGTCCTACCAACTACTACACTTTTAAACTCCTCTTTCATTATCAAACTATACAGAAGTGTTCTTCTTGGGCATGACAGAACTTCACTCACCCACAGACAGCAGATTGTTATAGGTCTCAAGCATCACCTCCCTGTACAGGGTCCTCTGAGCATTGTCCATTGTCTGCCATTCTTCCTGGGTAAAGTCCACAGCCACATCTTCAAAGGACACCAACACCTGTAACAGCACATGTCTCCTCAGTTCTGGATTATTCAATAGAATCACTGATAGTACATTCTCTGTATATCTAATTTGCAACTTCTATGGACACAGTTTAATTTACAATTCATACAGCATCATAGTTAAATAAAAATATTTTGTGCTATATCACTTTTGCAATTCCAATATTACAACAGAATATTCC